TTCTTTTACTTTTACTTTCAATGACAATGATAAACAGGACAAATAAAGAGGGGGAATCTCCCTAGCGGGGGGCACAGACAGCGATAATAGCTGACAAGCATTCTAATCCCTCCCCACTCTATCCAAAACTAAAAAAATGAAAAAAATAAAGAAAAAAAAAATTTTTGCCGTTAGTTACGCTTTAAGAGAGTACCAAAACAGCTACAGAAATTCTGTAAATGCTGCAGAAAATGATGCTGTCTGGACTAGAATAAAGCAGGGAGTAATATAAAGTGTCCATGTGTACTGGGGTATAATGCTAAGCCAAGTTTTATGAATCTTTCTACAAATGCCCAATAGGACCAGCCTGGGTCACCTGCTGCAAACTTAACCTTCCCTTTATTTGTATGAAATCACAGATGAAACATGCGGCTGGATTTCAGGACCACGGACAGCAGCTTTTAAAGTGCGTGCCTAACCTTTTTACAAATCCTAGGCTTTGCTAGAACACTGACCCTGATTTACTAAAGGAATAGGGCATTTCAAGGGGATTTTCACTTAGTTTAATGAAGTGGGAAAGCCGTACTGACTTCCTTCATCCAATCACATGCAGGCCAAAATCCTCTCTTTTTTCCTTTTCCTTGCATGCGATTGGGATTCTCTGCAAAGCTAAACATCTTTTTAACACATTCACTAAGCTGAGTGAAAATTCCCCTGAAAAGCTTAGTGAATGCGGTGAGAATTCACTTTGCAGAGAATACCCAATCGCATGCAAGGAAAGTTTTTTTTTAAAAAAAAAAAAAAACCAAGATATGTGCTTGCAAATGATTGGATGATTAATGACACTGAAGCAGAATTAAAGTGATGCTAAAAGGCCCTCTATATCAGTGGTTCTCAACCTTCCTAATGCCGTGACCCTTTAATACAGTTCCTCATGTTGTGGTGACCCCCAACCATAAAATTATTTACCCAGTAATTATAATTCATGAGTGTCGTTTTACCTCCAATACTGCTGCTTTCAACACAGTAGCTGCTTTTAACAGAGTAGCTGCTTTCAAACACAGCAGCTGCTTTCTACACATTGGAAATATGTGTTTTCTGATGGTCTTAGGGGGACCGCTGTGAAAGGGTCGTTCGACCCCCAAAGGGGTCGCGACCCACAGGTTGAGAATCACTGCTCTAGAGAAATTTACCCCCCCCCCTTCCTGACCACTCCATTTTTTGCAATACAGCACTGCGTTGCGCAGTCATGCAACGCTGCACCCAAATGAAATTTACGTCCTTTTTCCCCCACAAATAGAGCTTTCTTTTGGTGGTATTTGATCACCTGTGCATTTTACATTTTTTTGCACTATAAAAAGAAAAGCCTGACAATTTTGAAAAAAAAAAACAATATTTTTGACTTTTTGCAAATAAACATGTCCAGTAAAAAAAATTTTAAAAAATCAAATTTCATCATAAATTTAGGCCAAAATGTATTCTGCTATATGTCTTTGCTAAAAAAAAATCCCAATATGTGTAAATTAATTGGTTCACGTGAAAGTTATGGCATTTAGCAATGGCGGTATATATACTGGGATTTTTTTGTTTTGTTTTTAGTAAATGGCGTGGATCAGCAATTTATAGCAGGACTGCGGTGGGCAACCAGACACTGGGGGGAACTGACTTGGTGTCACTGACATCCCCAGTGACACCAATACAGTGATCAGTGCTAATAAAAAACACTGACACTGTACTAATGGCACTGGGCAGGAAGGCGTTAACATGAGGGGCAATCAAAGGTTAACTGTGTGCTGTTTTACATTGTGTGCTGTGTATGTGCTTCACTGAAAGCACACTGCTATGCATAGCTCTACTATACAAAGCCATACATAGCAGTGTGCTGGAGCTGACATGGGAGAGAACTGTTTTCTTTACTCCCAGTTCTTTCCCTCCATCGGTAATCCTGCTAGAGTAATCACTTGGCTGGAACCCCCGGCGATTGACAGCCGAGGCCGCAAATAGCAGCATGGGTAGGGCGCGCAACGCACGACTCGAATGTGCCCCCTACCCAGAAATGCAAAACCACATATGTATACGTGATTTTGCGCACCCCTGCCGCCCTGTAGCAGTAAATCCGCTATAGTGCGGCGGGAAAGCGGTTAAAAAAAAACAACAAACATGTCAAATTTACCTTCTCTGTGTAATGGTTTTGCATAGAGTAGCCCCGATCCTCCTCTTCTTGTGTCCCCTGTTGGTGCTCCTGGCTCCTCCCCCCTAATGAGTGCCCCCATAGCAAGCCACTTGCTATGGGGCACTTGCGTGTGCTCGCTCCTGAGCCAGTTCTGTGAGTCCATTGACATAAAGATTGTGGCTCAGCCCTGCCCCCCGTTCTCTCCCCACTGACTCTGATTGACAGCAATGGGAGCCAATGGCTCTCCCACTGCTGTCCCTGAGCCAGTGAGGAGGGAGCGAGCATAGATAACCGCAGCTCTCGGGTAAAGCACTCGATCAAGTTTGGGTAAGTATAAGGGGGAGGCTGGGGATGGGGGATGCTGCACACAGAAGGTGTTTTGCCTTCATGCATGGAATGCATGAAGGTTAAAAACCTTCAGCCTTTTAGAACCACTTTTAAAGTGGTAGCAAAGTGGGTTTTTTTTTTTCTTTTACCTACAGGCAAGCCTATAATAAGGATTATCTGTAGTTACAGTAAAACATCCCCAAAACATGAACCATTTAGGAGATATTTACTTTAGCAATGCCGGAGATGCCACTGGCGCATGCGCACTGCGCTCTCAATGGATGGTGTCCCTTCTACTGAAACAGCCGCACCATGACCAAAGCTCCCACGTGCATGTACGAGAGTGATGTCTTTGCAGCTCGGCCAGTCAAACGACCACAACCTGCGAACCTGCGAACCTGCGAACCCAGGGGAAAGCCGGAAGCCCCAGGGGGCCAATACAGCGCTTCGCTGGAGGGCTCCATTTTTTTGGTAAGATTTTCATAATGTGCTAGTATGCCATGCATACTACCACATTATGCTCTTAACTTGGTAGAATATTTTTTTGTTTTTTTGCACTTTACTACTGTCATGGAAATTTTGTATTGTTGGTCGAACTTTAAATGTGTCATATATTCGTGTTATTCATATGTCTCTCGTGTGGCTTAATTAAAGCTCTGAAGGCTGCAATTGGGCCATGCGCATGTACAATGTATGTATTACAGTACTCAGCTTGGTAATGGATGAGATGGCAGATCTGCGCTTATAGACCGGCGTGTATACCACCACGGCATTCGATGCGAATGTCGCTGGCAGTAGACCGTGGGCCTGTATCCACATATCAGCAGCATAGTACCACGTGGGCTTCATAACGCAAGGCGCCAAGCGGTACGAACTCCGCGTGTAGGCTTATGCATATCTTACAACCCATTACCAATCTGAACTGTATCCGGATGGATGTGTTTTAATAAAGATCGTATCGGGCCCATCCAGGTACAGACTGATATTTTTAGGGAGTGCTTGTGCAGAGAATGGACATACCAATAGAAGCTAGTAGGACAGGAAATATGACCTCAGATGGCTCATGGGGGGGAAGGGGAGGAAGTCTGCTGACCTCAGAAGACTCATGGGGGGAGGACCAGTGATAGATAATAGGAAAGGCTATGCTCCAATTGGAATGTACATCCTGTGTATAGGCACTCCCCATTGCATTGTTCGGTGGGAGGGGATTGACTTTATTCATGTGGGGGGCATGTGTGTATTTTTAATAAAACAGAGAGCTGGGTCTGAAACCAGCCCTTATGTGAATTGCAACCATCATCCTGAGAGTGTCGTGTGATCATTCTAGGGTAACGGAGCTCCAATTCTCCCACATTTCAACAGAAGCTAAAAGTATTTGGATGGGAGGAATCGTGTAGTTTAGCTGCAGTCGTGGTAAGCGAGATTCGCACAGCTTTATGGGGGATTTTGCGCATCCAACTGCGAGTACTCACGGTAAGGAGAAATTTTAAAGCGAATTTCCAAGACACTACCCTCTTTAACTAAAAAAAAAGGAATATGATCCATCTAACCTTCTTCTGTCTCCTGCACAATTACTAAAGCCTTTTCCTGTGTTTATTTATTTTTTTCCTGCTGCCCCGGCCTTTCCATTACCTGTCTAAGCCAAGCAGGTGTGTCTCTGGTCCTGTAACCTCCTGGGAAACTCACATGACATCTCTCAGGAACGGGCACACAGAGTAGCCAGAGGAAGGTCCTGGCCCGTCCCCGGCAGTTGGCTGTCTGAATCCAGAAGAGGCAGCCAGCCAAATTTACCAAGATGGCGGCACAGGATCTGGGCTGTGTCACCCAAACAGCGGATCACAGCGGGACAACAGGTGAGCATGTGTTTGGAACATAGCCCAGCATTATATGAAGAAAAGGAAAAATACATGGGGAGAGTCAAACTACACTTTAAATTAAGTCAAATTACAATTTACAAACTGAACATGCTGAATTCCTTTAATTAATTTATGGTCACTGCATATTATAAACAATTGACTATTTGATACATTCATCAAATACTTTTTATTTTCATCTTTTGTTACATCTCAGTGCTCCTGACCTCTTGCAGCCTCTTTACAGCCATTTCCTATCTACACTACAGCAATGGCAGTATGGCATTTCCTGATTGTGACAATAGTGTACCATGCCTGCCTAATGTGTTTTGAAAGGGCCACTTGACATTGAAAAGTCAGCATGACAACAGGACAGGAGAACAATTAGAAGATAGGGACAGATCGTTGTCACCCCATAACTGGAAGTGCCTAACCAAGAAAATGTATGGCAGGATCAACAGGCCTTTTTTTTTTTAATTGCAAAACTACATTTACATCAACATGTTAAAGATTATATGAGATTTTAGTAATTGGGCTTACATATACTTTAACCACCTTCCGCCCGCCATATAGTCAAATGACTGGCGCAAGGTGGTTCTCTCGTTCTGATAGGACGTCATATGACGTCCTTCCGTTCTCACCACGCATGCGCGGCTCAGGGAGCACACAGTGCGGCAATCGCAGGTGCTCTGTGTCCCTCGGATACAGCGGATCACGGAAAGAGCCGAAGATGTCGGCTCAGTCATGTGATCAGCTGTGTCCAATCACAGCTGATCACATGTAAACACGGAAATGCCGGTTATCAGCATTTCTCTCCTCTTTAGCTGTCATGCTGACAGCTCGAGAGGAGAGGAGAGCCGGTAATCGGCTTTCTGCGGAGGGGACATGTGCACTGATCATCAGTGTGGCCCCAGAAGTGCCACCTGTCAGTGCCCATCAGTGCCAGCAGTCAGTGCTCATCGATGCCACATGCCAGTGCCCATCAGTGCCACATCAATGCCACATATCAGTGCCCATCTGAGCTGCCTTTCAATGTCACCCATCAGTGCCGGTCAGTGCCACCTATCAATGCCAATCAGTGCCACCTATCAGTGCTGCCAATCAGTGCCACCTATCAGTGCCAGTCAGTGTCGCCTATCAGTGCGCATCAGTGCCGCCTATCAGTGCCAGTCAGTGCTGCCTATCAGTGCCAGTCAGTGCTGCCTAACAGTGCCAGTCAGTGCCACCTATCAGTGCCAGTCAGTGCTACCTATCAGTGCCATATATCAGTGTCATGTATCAATGCTGCCTTTCAGTGCCCATCAGTGATGCCTGTCAATGCCCATCAGTGCAACCTACCAGTGCCTCCTCATCAGTGCCCATCAGCAACCTACCAGTGCCTCCTCATCAATGCCCATCAGTGCCACCTATCAGTGTCCATCAGTGCAGCCTATCAGTGCCCATCACTGCAGCCTCATTAGCGCACATCAGTGAAGGAGAAAAATCACTTATTTACAAAATTGTATAACAAAAACTAAGAAAAAAATGGGGATTCTTTCAAAATTTTCAGTGGTTTTTGGTTTAAGAAAAAATAAAAATCCCAGAGGTGATTAAATACCACCAAAAGAAAGCTCTATCTGCCTCAAAAAAAGGATAAAAATTTCATATGGGTACAGTTTTGCATGAATGCGCAATTGTCATTCAAAGTGTGACAGCGCTGAAAGCTGGAAATTGGCCTGGGCAGGAAGGGGGTGAAAGTGCCCGGTAGGCTAGTGGTTACAGCTGACCTTCACCTTTGTTAAAAATGAACAGGGTGAGAATGCAGGGATGCAACTGGAAGACAGAGACATAGCGTTGCCACTTTCTAAAAGGAAGTGTATAAACAAGGAACTTCATGGCAGGATCATCAGGGATTATTTTAAAATGATTCTAATGAATACATTTTTATTTAAAAAAAAAAATAAACCTGTTACACTTACCTGCTGTGTGCAGTGGTTTTGCGCATAGCAGCCCTGATCCTCCTCTTCTCGGATCCCTGCCACTGCTCCTGGCTCCTGTCGCCGAGTGCCCCCAGAGCAAGCTGGACGCTTGCTAGGGGGGCACTTGTGCAGGTTTGACCCCGTGCAGTGCTCTGTGTGTCCACTGACACACAGAGCATGGCTTGGCCCCACTCCCTCCTCACCGGCTGTGATTGACAACAGCAGGAGCCAATGTCTCCCACTGCTGCCTCTCTGTCCAATGAGGAGAAAGAGAGCTGCTGATTTTGTGTGCAGAGCTGGATTGAGATCAGAATTTTTTTAATGCATGTATTAAGGTAAATAAATCTTTTACCTTTAGAACCACTTTAAGGAATCTACAGATTAAAAAGAAAACATTAACAATAATTGAAAACAAATCAATAATGAAAGGATGATAACAATTTAAAGCTTTATTGAAATTTTAGTGTTTGTATTTAAATTTACATTTTAAATGATAATTGCACATTGGTTAAATTTACAAAATTCAGATTTACAGAGGAACAGCAAAAAGACAATCAGTGGAAATGAATTCCATTTTTAGAAAAGAGATAATGAATCTAAGAAGAATCAGAAGTCACTTTTAGTATGTATATATTTCTACTCGGCTTTCCTTTTCAAGTGAGCATGGAGCTCCTTCTTCTAAAGCACCCCGTGTCACCATCTCCGCATCTATCATCATCTGCCACTACATTCTCCGCTCATCCGTCCTCTTCTGTATAATCAAGCATCGTGCACACATCAATTATCTGATGCCCTCTGTACCTCCACATTCATCACGGCACATGTGTGCTCCGGTTCTATCATGTCACCATACACATTCTCTGTGTGTGTGTGCGCGCCTGTGTGTAAATACATTTATGTCCCATTCATCTGTACATGGATTTGTACCAAGTTCTTTTAACAAAAAAATATTAAAATTAATCTCAGTGGTGCTGCTATGTATACACACACACACAAAATATATATATATATTATATATATATATATATATATATATATATATATATACTGTATATATTTACATTCACCAACCTTTTTTATTAGGTATACCTTTTCAATTGCTTGGGCAGCTGCACAGGTTCCTCAGGGGGTGATTACTACCAAGCAATTGAAAAGGTATACCTAATAAAAAAGGTTGGTGAATGTAAATATATACAGTATATATATATATTATTGTGTGTGTGTGTATACATAGCAGCACCACTGAGATTAATTTTAATATTTTTTGTTAAAAGAACTTGGTACAAATCCATGTACAGATGAATGGGACATAAATGTATTTACACACAGGCGCGCACACACACACACACAGAGAATGTGTATGGTGACATGATAGAACCGGAGCACACATGTGCCGTGATGAATGTGGAGGTACAGAGGGCATCAGATAATTGATGTGTGCACGATAATAATTAGCCAATCACATAGCAGCTAGAGATGAGCGAATAGAAGTAGGTGAAGTGGAATTCGTTTCGAATATTAGGAAAATTTCGAAATTTTTCCTAAAATGGCGGCGACATGTGCGGCGACGGAGCGGGGATGTCTGGGAAGGCGCGCAGACAAGGCGCGCTGACCCATAATGCATTCATTCATGACATGTGATCGCATTAGCCAATCAGCAGCCAGCCAGCCAGCACAGTGTAATGGTGGAGCTATAAATGGCAGCCATTTTAGAATTCTCCATTTGCCTCCAGTCATTCAACAGAGGCAGACCTGGCTGTATGCAGGGAGAGAGGTAGGGACAGAGAAACGTTACTTAGGGACACAGAAACGTTAGTTGGGACAGAAGTTACTAGGGCCACAAAGTTCTTAGGGACAGAAACTTATTTTAGGGCCCCCGAATTTTTTACTTAGGG